AAAAAGGTACTCAAGAAGGATAGCGAAATGGAAACGCTCATCCTCACTCCCCCTCCGGGCACACCAGACATTGACAAGGAGGGGGAGGAGGGAAGAAAAGCTCGAGAGGTCTGCTTTGTCAATATCCAGCGCGAGCTCAGGACCAGAGGAGTTTTCCTTCGCCATGAGTACCCCAAAATCTATAATCAGCTGTGTGAGTTTGTGGAAAGCAACAAAAGGTTTACTCCTACTACTATATACCCAATAGATAAGAGAACAGGGAAACAGTTTATGTGCATGATCATGGCAGCATCCGAGCCAAGAACATTAGACTGGGTGGGCACCCCCCATCTCTTGGATGATATCATATAGCATAGCACTAATTAGTAACGATAATGATGTCAGCTAAATGTATATACTGGAAATAAATTGTGTGATTTAGCAAACTAAATATTGATTTGGAAATAGATGTATATACAGTATGTGACCAGCCGCTCTCTCTCTCTCGCTCTCTCTCTCTATCATCTATCTATCTCTCACTTCTGTCTGTTGCCACAGATACACAAAACTCACACGCATAAACACACACACTTGTGACATGTTGTTTTTGGCTTGTTTTGATCCCGTTGCCCACAGAACAGTTAAACAGTTAATAGCCTGCATGTAGACTAGGCAAGCTCTCCAGTTATCCAGGTGTTTAAGATGTGAACATGTATGATTGTGCAGTCTCTGCAGACAATTTATGAAGCACACAGTATTTATTAAGTGCACATTTCATTGCCTACACATAATAGTGTGCAAAGCCAGGTTTCATATTGTAACAGTCATCCACTATTAATTTCTCCAACAAATGCTAAATCATATATTTATATCTTGTTACAGTGGTTGTAAGATTACAACTGTTGTTTATTAGTATTTAAGTATTATTTCCTTGATATGCTGTAGATGTGTGGTTTTTTTAAAAAATTATATTAGTCATTGTTTCATAGATAAAGGAGTACAATCAGACCGCCGGTTGTTTTCCCACTCCATTCACGATTTAGTTGGAACTTATTTCATCTTGTGAAAAGACTTGATGTCATTCTTGTATAAATTGCTTTGTTTGAAAGTGGCCTTCAGTCGAAAACAAAAAAAAAGCATTTGACACAAAGCAATGTATAGGGTTAGCTATTTCTAAAGGGTTTAGAGCTATAGAATTAGGTTGTTTAAACTACCAGTGTAAATGAATAATTATTTTGCTCAAAGCATGTTATTTATATTTAAGGTATTTTAATATTGATATTGCTTATGATTAAATTTATTATGTTAACAAGATACCATTTGATGCATAGAAATGTAAGAGGTATATATATTGAATATTAGATCATTTGAACATCATGAACTTGAGACCTTATTGTAACTAATACCACAGTATGTTCCTAATTAAATCATATGCAATAAAAGAGCAACCTTAACATCTATATTGTAAAATCCTATTTTATTATAAACACTTAATAATTCCTTTGAGCCAAGAGCTGCAAAGACTATTTGCACTTACACAAATTACGAGATAAGAATGTTCCTAACAGCTCTGCAGCACTGACCCCAGATGATAAGCCTGCTTCCAATGCCATTGTTGACTAATCTAAGGTTGCCCTTTTACTTGATTATATCTTTGTGCAAGACCTTCCTCAAGTTTCTATTTTGTGATGTTTATAACACACGTATATATAAATATATATATGAATCTATAATAAATGGAAGTAAATGAGTGACCTCATGGCTTTGAATTTTTCTTCATGGGCTACTTTATATAAAGGCACAAGATTAAATAAATACAGTTCTCGTCATGTTGTCTCCTTTTTATATTATTAGAGCTCCACCTTGTGGAGCAATGCATGTATTGGTCGAAATACAAAGTTGGTATTGGCAACTTATAAAAAGTAAAATATATCACATTTGACCTCTGACCTCTTTCAAGGTCAAGTAAGGTCAAACTTTCATAAAATGACTTTAAATTTAAAAGGTGATGCTCTCACCTTTGTCACGTGACATCTAAGTCAGCTTTGGTGCTGATAAACTAATACTTAATACACATACATGACATACAGTACAAAAGGCAGTGTAGGAAACTCATCACTCTTTTGTCCAGTGGTGGCTCACACATGGAATATGAGCAAGTATGAAATTGAATACCATTTAAAGGCCTCGGGTATCATTAATTACAATGGTTAAGCACATGTCAACCAGATAAACTTTAAGTATGGGTAAAAATTCTATATGCATACATTCATTCACATCATTAGGTACAATAGTGACCTATTAATTACTAGGTTGTACCCCCTTTTGCCTTAATAAGTCATGGCATAGACTGAACGAGGTGCTGGAAACATTCCCCAGAGATTTTGTTTTGTTTTATTAAAATAAAATTTCACTTATTTTTTGGGAAAGTGTACATTCTGATCAAAACAACAACAACAACAACAACCTTTATTTATAGAGCACATTAAAAGCCTTAGGCATACCAAAGTGCTTTACAAAAAAAACAATAAAATAATGCTGTTAAGAGCATCTCGACAGTGACATCTGCAGGTCTTGGGGGAAATGGCAATGTGAAGGAGTGTCGATGGTAGAGAGCAAGACATCAGGAGTTCATCCTCCAGGTGGGATCTCTCATATTAATTGAATGCATTTCAGTTTATTTCATGCTGACGCTTGTGGTAGCAGCCCTGACGTTCTGTTAAACTAGGAGATAATGGATTTGAGAGGGCAGATTCAGGGGAGCACTACTGGGGAAGGGACTGACAGTTCAGCTGCAGGCTCCACTGACTCAGCATTATAAAATAATAATAAAAAAACAGCAACAAGTAAACCACTACTGATACATCATTCATAAAAGGACATTCGGTGTGTGTATAAAAAAACAAAAATATTAGGATTCAATGGTACTCAGGCTGTGGGGAGTAAAACATACTTCACGAGGTTCTGAACAACTGATGGTACATGTCCAGTTAAGTTGGAGGTATAAATCCTTAACATTACTATTTTAAATAGCCTCTGTGACATATGAGTTACAGCTCTTTGGGTAGCTTTTGGTTACCTGTAGTTGTTTGATTCACAACTTGTTTTGGAAAATGCACATTCAGAACTATGAATTTGTGTTTTGAGAAATTATGGAGAAACGACTATGTTTCAGCTCTGATTAGATGACAACATCATATTTTTCTAGTGTTCATATCATGTCCCATACACAGCTTTACGGCAGCGTTAATGGTACATCAAGTTTTGCTTTCACAAATAAAATAAAGCAAAACATCAGTTGCGTGTTGAATACACATTTGAAAAAGGATCCGAACAGATTTAATCCAAAGAATTTTTTCTGTATTCTGCATAAAAAAAACCTTATTACAGAGATGAACATATTATGTAAATATGATAATAACCATGCTTCCATATAACTATATATAAACAATTTAAATGTCACTTGGTTATCCATAAAGAGACACATAATATGTGCATAAAAAATAAATATTTGGGATATAATGTGTGCCTATTTAAATACAAATCCTCTTGTGTTATAGTCAGGACCAGCCCATTTTTAGGTTATAAAATGCATAAAAGTACCTTTTAAATTTGTTTATTGTATCAAGGCTTTTTTGACTTTGTCAGAATTTCTATTTAAACAAAGTAAAACAATAAAACTAAATTATAAAATGAAATGCGCTGGTGAAAATTATGACTTTTTTATTGTTGGGGTTGGTTTAGACCCAGTTATAATATAACATTATAAAACAGTAGTGCTAAAGCTAAAGTCATAAACACACTGTGAGCTCACTAACTCATTTAGAAGCTACTCTCTTTAACGCTTTGTCTCCTTCCCTAAATAAACAACCCCTTTTATTCTTACTGCTTCACTGAAAAGGTCATCCAAACTGAGATCTACATGTAAGACCGACTCATTTTGGTGACATCAAGTTTGCATCATGCAGAAAGAATTCTACAATAAGCCAAGCTCTTTATGAGAAGAAGAAGGATATAATTATCAACCAGAGGACACGGATACAACTGATGAATCTGGTGAGGAGGTCACAGTTGCTGAAGCTGCTCCTGCTGAAACAAACAAATCCAAAAGTGGTGATATCTCTTGGATGGGCGAGGCTCATTTCACTGAAATTCAACCCAGGCCCAGACATAACAGTATGAATGTTTTGCCCCTTTCCATGGGAAATGCTCCTTCTGGCAATACATGCCCAGCAATTCAGGCAAATACGACATAATGGGATGTGATGCAAAAACCAGCTATGCATCGAATTGAAGACGACAGGAAGAGTTAGAGAAGCAAACCTGCGAGTGGCATCCCTGAGAAAAAACAAGGAAAACATCAAATCCTCGATATGGTTTCTGGACTGCAACCTCGCAGCTGCTGTGAGGAAGGACCTGTGATACCGCTCCTTTGTGCACACAGGATACAGCAGTCTGTCACAGAAAGAGCTCTCCAGTTCTTCTCTCCTACTACTTGCACTGGGGTGTGATGTTGACCCATAACACTACAGACGTTATTATAGTTTATAATATTAAACTAATATATATATATGTGTGTGTGTGTGTGTGTGTGTGTGTGTGTGTGTGTGCGCGCGTGTGTGTGTGTGTTCTATTACCTGTCAACGATAGTAAGGTAACATAACACCCTTTTATTTTAAAACATTTTTTAGAATGGAAACGAGATATGCTGTAAAAAGAAAGGGCCTGGGAGCTACAAGAAAAATATTAAAACCAGTCTTTTCATGGATAAGGAAGCCTAACAAGGTAACTAACAATCAAACTGCATGGTAAACCATTGTTTTGAGGATATTCTTTGGTTGATTTAGGACACGGGTCAAAACCGATCAGTTAACATAAGAGATAGTAACGGAAAGGTACCACAAAAGGAAGGTTTAAACCTCCTTAATTTCCAGGAAACCTGATGTTTAAACATGTTTTCTATTTTAGCGTGAAATGTCCCTTTAACGACCCAAACGCTTCCTTTTGCGCATGCGCGTTGCGCAGGTCTCCTCGTGATGACAGTAAATGACAGCAGCGTTCGCTAATGAAGAAGGCAGTGTGAGACCGCTAACCGCCAACAAACACTTGACTGACTCGAGAAATCTTATGATCAGCTGTGTTTAGAGGAGGTGGGAACAATTAGTACGGACTAATTACGTTTGGTAAGTGACTGATTTTATGGTAACGCGTATTGTTGTTCACATTTGGTCCCCTCAGGAGCTTGCAGCCTAAAGCTAAGCTAACGTAGCTGTCGGGCTAGCTCATCATTAGCTTGACCTGCTCGCAAACGTTAGCCCAGTTTAACTTGGTTAACATTAGCAGGCTACTACAAAATTAGCCAGTTCACAGGGCTACTTTCTTTCCGCGTCCCACAAATCAGTGCATCCGCAAGTTCGTCTTTACTGGAAGCAGTGTGACACCTGGGTGCCCCTTGTTCCACTTTCCTTCATAGCTTTTAGCTGGCAAATACCGGTCAAATGGTTTAATTGATAGGATTCCCGGGTCGTCTTGTGGTGATCTACTACAAGTTAATGGAGCAGGCGTTTACGGGCATTAACATTACCCATCTCGATCTGCTGGCTGCTTGGCCAAATCTCAGGAGTGGAAACAGCATCAAATCAAGGACACTATAAACACACAAATGCACGGCAGTTAGAAAATGTACATGTTTTATTCAGATTTTGTGTTAGATATGCTTTCACCCACTCACTGAGAAAAGTGGGTGCGGTGTCTAAAGTTGTAACGTAAAAACATAGGTACAAACATGATGTTTGTAACGTTAAGGCTTGTTAGGCCTTAGGATATCAGAAGCATGTTGTCATTGAACACGACTATTCAAATAAGCGGTACATGTTTCTGGCAATAAGTAATTATCGCTCGGTTTTGTCCGTTATCATTATAGTAATTACTGGTAGATTACAAAAAATGAAGCCGGTTAACTCAAATTTAATTCAGCCTGTTCGTTGCCAATTGCAAAATGTGAAACGTTGCTCCTTGTCGTGTGTTATGTCTTTAAAAAAAAGTTGTAATTTTTTCCCCCCAAGGTTAAGCTTAATGACAAAAATCACAACACAAACATACACGTATTTGTTGTACAGTACAGTGCAGTAAAGTCTTAGCACCTGTAAAATAACTAGAGCTACAGTTTCCATGTCCTTAGTTATCTAAGCCCATAACTCCCATATTGCTCATCACGTCATGCTTTTTTGTTTATAGCCTCAGTAGTCACTTTCAGTTTAAGTCTTTACTAAAAATTGAATGTGATTCAGATCTGACTGAGGCTCAGCAAACAGGACTTTATTCCTCTGTATTTGTGACTACAAAGTGCCTGACCAAGGTTCAAGTTTTTCAGTCTGAAACCTCAGCTACAGTCCATTCAAATTTGTTGCTCAAAATGCTCAATAGTAAAGCAAGCAGGCAGCAGTGGGGAGTCATTGTTAGTTAATCCAGATAATAATAATAATAATAATAATAATAATAATAATAATGATAATAATCATTATTATTATTATAAATTTGTTGTAATACAATGATCTGCAGCCACCCCTCAGGTGATGTTTACTTTTATTCTTGCTCCGTTTCATTTCGTGTTTCATCAGTTCTTGTCCTGATGCATTAATAAAGTGTGTGCTGGTTAAATTGGCCAAACCTGCAGCGAACGGTCAGTTTTTACTCCTTCAGAAAGGATTGAGGTTCAGGAAAAATGCTGAGAAAGGTCACCCGTAAACCTCACATATTTTCTGTACACTATCTGCCTGCTGAGCAGTGTAAGAAATTCTGAGAAAGGGAAGTGTGAAGAGGATGTTTGCTCGGGACCGCAGATACCTTTTGTGGAAAGTGAAATCCTTTAAATCTATAAATAAAAAAAACACTCAGTTCTGTTGGTTTGTGTGCGCTCATGTAGTGGGTGGAGTGGGCTGTGATCCAAACACCTTTACTCCGATGCTGAGATATTTACTAGAAGTAGGAAGCGCAGAATAAGTCCCAGAACATTGTCCACGCTAACGGTGGTGTCTTGATACAGCCCCTTTTAAGACAATAATGTATCAATAATATCTGTGTAACCGAATGAGAAAAATAAACCTGGAGAAAAAAGCAAGAACAATGAGAGATTTATTTATTTATTGTATTGTGGTGTGGCATTGTATCATTATTGTTATCAAGATGGAGTTTTGCTAATGAGTCATTTCAGTTAGCTCCTTGGTTTGCTTTTTGCTCCCTGTCTTCTATTTTCCCCTCTGAGTATTTTCTTCACCACAACCTACTTAACTTCTGCTCACATTATCCTCCTTCATTTAATAAGCACCATCAGAAGTTTTTTTTTCCCCTAGACTTGCCCTGGCATTGATAATAAATTAAGGCGTTTAGAGATGTTATGAGTGAACACTCGGTCCTCTCGTGACTCATGTTAACAGATTTCAGTGGCTGTCCTGCCACGACTTTTATTCTCACATGCAGCTTACAGAGTTGAAGATTATGCCTTCCCTCAGTGTCTGTTGTTTGGTTTCTCTTCTGCTTTAGAGTTCCTCTGTGCTCTCCATGACTGACTCACCAGGTAGCTCTACTCTGTGGATTGTATTGACGCTCGCATGCACATGAGGCTGTGGCAAATGGCAGTAAACCTCTCTGCTAGACACTTAAAAGCCTAGTTGCTTTTTCACTTCTGTCCAAATATGTGAGGAATGTGCTTATTCAAGAAGATGAGCGGCTCAGTGGAAGTGCGCCATAAGTGTGCTTGTAAGCCAATCCCATATGGAAAAGAAATAGTAAAAACATATATGATTTACTCATGAAAGTGGCCACTTTCATGAGTAAATCATATATAAATCATATAAGGCTTACATGATTTACTCATGAAAGTGGCCACTTTCATGAGTAAATCATATATGTTTTTAGTAAGTATACAAAACATACAAGTTTCATTATATAATTTTTCAAGGGATCTTATATGTGTTTTCACTCTTGTATGCTTTTCATACAAGTTTCATACAAGACAGATAAAAACTTTATAAGATTTATATATATCTTTTCCATATGGGAATTACCTGTCAGTGACTTACGTTCAGATCTGAAATGACTTTTGAACTGAGAGAAAATGACTTTTTTGTCTTTATTATTCTGATCTGTTAATTTACAAAGGTCCAAAATCTAGAGCAGTTTACAATACAATAAAGACCCAACCAGGGATTTGTTGTTCCAATGTATTAGTATCATCAGTAGTGGAACGGGAAAATTCAACATCACAAAATGGATAAGCCTTTCTGTAACCACTGGACTATGGTAAAGTTTGGAAATGATTGGCACCTTTTTTACTAATCATTGGTTAATCATTTTGGTCATTTCCAAAGCTTAACGGCTGACTGATGTGGGTTTTTCTGTTGTTGTTGTTTTTTTTAGCCTTTATGTTGATAAGCACAACATCTGAAGCCTTAGTTCACATTGATCATTAATATTTGACATTTTATAAATAACACAATTTGTTAATTAATAGAGAAAATAGAGAGATGATTGAAAGTAGAGATTGGTACTGACAGTGACTACTCCTTGGTCTTCTTCCTCCTGCTTAATGTGCAGACTCAGGCTGGCAGACTTGGGGTGAAACCCTCCATGCATTGTAAGGAGCTTGTGTTGATGTCAGTAGCTTCAAGGGCTGGGCGATATGGCCTATATCCATATCACGGTATAATTAGAAGCATGTGTGGTAACGATATATATCGCGATATATTCTTTTCTTCTGTATAACGTATTTTACACACTATAAGGCACACTTAAAATCCTTTAATTTTTCTCAAAAATCAACAGTGTGCCTTATGTATGAATTCTGGTTGTGCTTACTGACCTGAAACCGATTTTATGTGATACACGGCACGCAAAAATCTGTCAAAAAATGTTTTAGTACGACTTTGGTAAGCTATGAAGGCGCACCGCTTGATGGATTGCCGGAACATTACGGCTGCTTGCGAAGTAATCTGGGTCCAAAACTCCGTCTGCTTCAGGTCCCACAGTCAAACGAACACTGTGGCATTAGGGCTGTTCGATATTAGAGCAGGGTGATATGACCAAAAATATTTATCACAATATACATTTGAAAATTTGCGATAACGATATAACTGACGATATAATTGACACTAGACAAAATGCTTTACAACTCCACAACTTTATTAGTGCAAAAAACCCTATCAATGTCTTTTCACTTAAACAAGCAGCTGTTTTTTATGTACATTAAAGTTATATAAAAATGTAATAGTGCAAATTCCTTGCTGACAATTTAACCAAAAGGCATTTCCAGTGGAAATTGGCCGACATATCCTCAGCATAACCATGTATAATATTCACAAAACTTAAAAAGAGGTTATACACACACAATATGGTAATATTATGTTGAAGCACAATACGTATCACTCCATGTGGCGCCTGCCTACGATAGCCGTAATGCTCCGACAATCCATCAAGCTGTGCAGCTTCGTAGCTTAGCAAAGTCGTACTAAAACATGTGACAGATATTTTTAGTGCCGTGTACGACATAAAATCGTTTCGAGGTCAAAAGGCACACGGGATTATAAGGGGCACTGTCGATTTTCAGAAAAATCAAAGGATTGATTTTAAGTATGCCGTATTTTCCAAACAACACGATAATAACGACGGCCCGCTAGCATGCGCTACCAAAAATAGTGCTTTGATTGTATATCTGACGGACAAAAGCTAAACCAGTTCCACACCACTGGAGTTGCAGCATTTTTACAAACCAATTCTGGTTCATCCGTTTCATTTAACGATCCACTTTCGCTCTTCTCATTCTGCGTCGCCGCCATGTGCGTATGTAAACAAAGGCACTGCGCATGCGCATTTTACCCATATTCTATCGCGATATTTCATTTTCCTATCTTTGCCCAAAATTACACCGGTATTACCGTGAACGGTATGATATAGCCCAGCCCTATTCGATATAACGATATATATCGGATGACGATATAAAAACGTCTATCGTTTCATTTAAAATAAACTGTTTATGGCAATATTTTTTCATCGTTTTGATGGACACTGTAGTGGCTATATTAATTTCTTAAAGTTCTCTATTTCTCTTATATTTAATATAACCACACTACGGACGGACAAGCGCCTGTTTTTATGCGTTATGGTTAGCAACAACGTGTCCGCTTGTTTATGTTCCACATAAACCTTTCACAATAAAGCTCAAGATCCTGTTGAGACTTTTCAAAATAAACTGAATCACGTGAAAGAGCAGATTATTTATGGATGAGAAGTAAAAAAGAGCCGCCAGGTGCTAAAAAATAGACCTTGGACTCAAACGTTAGAACAGGCGTTTCCCCACAGCATGCTGTGTAATAAATATTCATAAAGAAAACTGAGGCTGTTACAACTTATGTCTAAAAATGTATCGTTTCATGCATCGACTCGACTCCAGCTACATGACGCGCAGCTGGAAACACTTCATGCAAGTCGAGCTGCCTGAGATTCACAGAATTTACAGAACATGTTACATTTTTGTGATTTATATCGCTATCGGGACGATAGAATTCTTTTTTCGGGATATGAGATTTTGGTCAAATCGCACAGCCCTATGTGGCATCACTGAGAGTTAAAAGCTGTCTAAATTCTTTCATCTTTAATAAAATGATCAGCGTTGCTGCTCTACCAGGTGTAAAAATTAAGTTTAACATCCAGGCATCATGAAAACAGAATCTATTAAATTCAACGGAGTTAGAAGTTAGCAGGAAGTTAGCTCGCTAGTTTCCACTTAATGTTCTGACTTGCTATATCAAAAATTAAAACGTACAGCTCTGCTATCACTTCCAACATAAATGAAGACAGAAAACTAAACAGCAGTGACTTTTGTAGGGTTACTGAAGTTGGGCTAGCTGGTATATAATGATGTCCTACATGATCGCTAGCAAAACAGTTACGTTAGCATAACATTAGCACAGTGAAGCTGAAGGATGAACGCTAACTTTTTTCCACTAGATAAAAGTTAACGTGAAGGTTTCTGGTGGTTAGGGACAAATGCAATTGCATGGCAGGATGCTATAAAGGGACCAAACTTCAGTCAGGAGAACAACTGAGATAATCCATCCACAATACGAGGTTGGTCATTAATATACTGCAACAACATGGGAATAGAGCAGCTGCGAGAGAATTCAGCATTAATGAATCAATGGTACGGAAGTGGAGGAAACGCAGATTTTGGTTTTCCCCATATTCCAAAAGTGCTTCGTCTCTTTGCTATTACTGTCGCCCGGCATAATTTGCAGATGATGTTGTTTGCAGCCGCTGTAATGCTTTCGACCAAAACAGGTGCAGCTTGATGACACCATCAACATGCTCTATCGCGGTAGAGCGGTATAGTCAAAATCTCTACCGTTGGCCAAATTTATATCGTTTCTACCGTATACCGTTTATACCGCCCACCCCTAGTAGCTTCTATCTCCTCCTTTGGCCAGCTTATCATCACAGTGGGGTATCTGATCACAGGCATGTTGATTGCCCAGATCTTGTTCTTCACATTCAGCTGACTCCTCAGGAATTGCCAAGCTAAGATCCTGTAGGACTTTTATATACAGACAAACTGGTGATGGCTAACTAACAAGACATAGGAGTGGTGGACAAGCAGAGGAAAACACCCCTAGTGATAGATGTAGCTATACCAAGTGATAGCGACATCAGGAGGAAGGAACACGAGAAGCTGGAAAAGTACCAAGGGCTGAGAGAAGAGCTCGGGAAGCTGTGGAGGGGGAAGGCAACAGTAGTCGCTATGGTAATTGGAGCACTCAGGGCAGTGACCTCCACACTGGGGGAGTGTCATCCCTGGAACAACATCTGAGATCTCTGTCCAAAGAGCACAGTCCTAGGCATCTGTTAGAGGGCCCAAGCTTGAAGGGATCGAGATCGCCTGCAGGGCGAGTGGGGAATTTATTTTATTTCATTTTTTTAGATGTGTAAAGCTGGTTTCAAAACGAACAACAACATCACATCTAGGTTATGCAGACACGCGTTGTTGACATTATGTCTACGTTACATGTATGTTGTTTGTAACTACATTATGCTAAACAATTTTTAGTACAGTGACGCGCTGGGGTGACTGGAATCTAATGGCATGCATGTCTGTAAATAAGTGTTCATCAAGCAGTTATAATAATAGAGCTTACAATTGATTAGTACTTCTTATACACAAAATATGTTGCTTGCAAAGAATAATAATAATAAATGTCTTTATTCTAGTGCTGTCAGTGTTAATCTCGTTAAAATGACGTCATAACCGCATTAATGCGGCAAATCTCCGTTAGCGAGTTAACGTGGATCGCCCTGTGCGTGGGGCTGCACGGCAATAACGCATTAACGAGCTACCCGCGCTAACATGCAGCCCCACGCACGGGGCGATCCACGTTAACTCGCTAACGGAGATTTGCCGCATTAATGCGGTTATGACGTTAACGTCATTTTAACGACGCTGACACCACTACTTTATTCATTTCTTTGGTGTTTCTGATCAGCCATTTTTACCATTTGACTATATATAGTCACATAATGTTATAATGCTGCTTTTAATGAAAAATGTAAACATAAAAATGATGAATAGTGAAGTAAAAGAATCGCTGTTTGTTCTTTGCCATGGGAATTCAATGTAAAGCCAATCATTATGTCTGCATAACCAATTTGATTTGCCTGGTGTATCAGCTCTAATGTTGTAGTTGTCTGTTATCTTCCGAGCAGTGACGCTGCGCTGCAGTCATTCCTGCTTTTAAGGCAGTTTTCTCCATTAGTCTTATTCTTCTTCTCCTCCCAGTGCCTAAACTCCTTATTTTAATCGTTTTTTTAAATGTTTGCAACCACACACAAAGAGGCTTTTGTAGATAGAATTAAGGAAGAAATCATTCAAATTTCACGCATTCTGCTTGGATTATGTGTTTTGGCTGTGTATGAGTGGCAAAGGAAGAATGATTTGCATTTTCTGCTCAGTAGCGCGTCCCAGAGCTTGTGACAAAGCCTGCTTTTGCAGTTGTCACTGGGCCAGTCTGCAAAACACACTGAATGCAAATGATCATTTTCCTTGTATGATGTAACCATCATGAACAATGTAGTATGTGGTGTGATCTTAATTTTCTGGGAATCTGCCCATGAGGGGAAAAAAGAAACAGAGTTAAAATTTTCTCCTTCAAGGTCAACCCCTTGTGTATCTTTGGACCACTTTTAGGACTGTTGAACGTTCTGTTAGGGCTACCTGTACTGTGTACTCTGCAATTATTTAACCAAGGATCTCAAAATACACAGAGGTCAAACATAAACTTATTTCAAAATAACCCAAATTTGAGTGGAGGTTCATCACTGGTGTTGTGAACTGGGTCTCTGGTCATAGCCATTGTGTACTGGCACACCATGCATTGAAATTTGGACCTCAATACTCAATACAAGAAGAGGATCCTAAAGTGGAGGGCAGCCAAATTTAAAGTGTTGTTTTTCTTCTTCTCGGGGGGCCGATTCCCAGAACTTTTTGATCATACCCCATATTAAGCCAATTTTTTTAGAGAGAAAATGATCTGCTATAGAACAATTGCAAACCATTAGAATACTACTCTCTACATATACTTCATTTCATACATATACTTGACCCTTCAACAGCACGGTTGCCTGTGGTAGAACGTTACAATAACTGCCCAAAAAGTGACTAAAAGACAGTTTCTCCATTTTGTTTGTTTAAAAAAACAAAACAAACATTAAAAAAAAGGAAAAGGTAAATCCTTTCAGTTTCAGCACTTTATAGTTTTTCCAGGAATTTAATCCTTCACTTTCACAAAGTTGAGACTTACAGGAAACTGAATAAAATGTAACATGTGTGGCAAACAGTATTTAATAAAACCAATAGCATCATTTTATTGTCCCTGCCTGGTGAGTTCTCACTTCCTCCTACCAATGTGCCCTTGTGACACAACTGTGACTGAAATATCAGAAACTTCTGTGTGTGAAATCGGTGCAGTTCCCCTGATAGAAACCTTTCTCTTGTTGATGTTTTTGTTGTTTTTTTTTTTAAATGTCTATTTAGTTTTAGTTCCACATACTATACCGATTTACGTTGTTTCCATTGGATCTTGTCTCTTTTATGCTCCAGTCATTTGCCTCTCTGCCTGAGTGAGCCGTTGAAGATGGTGAAGCCAGATATCCACACTCTGGCCCACCACCTGAAGCAGGAGCGGCTGTATGTGGCGTCAGAGAAGCAGCTGATCCAGAGGCTCAACAGTGATGTGCTGAAGACAGCTGAGAGGCTGTACCGCGCTGCATGGATCGCAAAGCAGCAGCGCATCAACCTCGATCGTCTCATTCTCACTAGGTTAGATCTACTGTCACGATTCACTGTATTGTTGGCGAATAAGAGAAAAGTCCAGAATATTTTGTATTTTTAACCTATACGCAGAGAGCAATGTAAAAATTACAATTTATTTGGGGGAGAGTTAAGGAAAGTTGGGCATTTCCAAGATTTGACTTGGTTTGCAGAAAGACATTTTAGCCAGATTGGTAAGTAAAACGGAGCTAGATGCAAACATTTTAGTGCAATTCTAAACTTTTAGTTGAGTTTGGTCTTTTTAGGGAGGAAAAAATGGAAAGATTAAAACTGCTGTTGGTGGAAGGAATTCTATAAAATGTGGTAATGACACAACTCTGTTCCACAGTGCTGAGGCCTCTCCGGCTGAATGCTGCCAACATGCCAAAATGTTGGAAGATACACAGTTTATTGATGGCTACAAGACGCTGGGCTTTCATGAAACAATCTATGGAGAGTTCTTGGCCAGGTTGAGGGATAATCCCCGGCTGGTTGCGTCCTGCTTGGTGGCAGGAGAGAGGCTGATCCAGGAGCACACTCAAGGTGCCATATATACAGTCTTCACCTCACTTTATGGCAACTGTATCATGCAGGAGGATGAGAGCTACTTACTACAGGTCAGTGATCCCACCTGCTTCTGCTGTTACACATTAGTAACAGTTTCATAGGTTTTCAGTGAGATAAGAGGTTTTCGTCTGGTTCATCCATCTTTCTTTCCAACTACCAGGTGTTGCGGTACTTGATAGAGTTTGAGCTGAAGGAGAGTGACAACCCTCGTCGTTTACTCCGACGGGGAACCTGTGCCTTCAGCATACTGTTCAAGCTCTTCTCCGAGGGCCTTTATTCCGCCAAGCTCTTCCTCACTGCCACCCTACACGAACCTATTATGCAGCTTCTGGTTGAAGATGAGGACCACCTGGAAACCGACCCAGCCAAAGTGACGGAGCGCCTCACTCCGGCCCAGCAAGAGCGCTACGGAGAGAAAGGCTCTGAGGGCTACAAGCAGAGGGTGCAGGCAGCTGTCGAAGCGAACGAAGCCAAGCTGGTCGCTCTGGTCAACAAGTTTATCGGTTACTTGAAGCAGAACACCTACTGCTTTCCTCACAGCCTGCGCTGGATCGTGTCCCAGATGTACAAGACTTTGTCATGCGTAGAGCGTCTTGAGGTGGGAGAGGTGCGCACCATGTGTACAGATCTGCTGCTGACCTGCTTCATTTGTCCAGCTATAGTTAACCCAGAGCAGTATGGCATTATCTCAGACGCACCGATCAATGAAGTGGCTCGCTTCAATTTAATGCAGGCAAGTGGCGCAGCACGTTTTCTCTTTGTAATGTCATATACACGGCCATTCTGTTGTGGATGGGTTTACAATGTTTTTGTTTTGCCATACAGGTGGGGCAACTTTTGCAGCAGTTGGCAATGGCCGACGATGATGCAGACCCAAGGCGGAAAAGCAGTTTGTCCAAGTTTGATAAGGTAGGTCTGTTTCTGTAAACAGAGTAATGTGTTTTTTGTTTGGGTTTTTGGGGTTAAAAAATGAGGGGCCTTATGTACTAAGATGTGTTTTCTGGGTCTCTGTTTGGCAGAGTTGTGTTGCTGCTTTTCTGGATGTGGTGATTGGCGGAAGAGCAGTTGAAACCCCACCCATGTCCTCAATGAATCTTCTAGAAGGCCTCAGTAGGACTGCAGTCTATGTTACTCATAATCAGCTGCTTTCTCTGGTAGGCTGTTTTACAGTTACAGTATATGTCCCTGTTATGTGTTTTGACAAAAACAAAGTACTTGCAGGTTAATCGTTGGTATGTTATCAAATTTCGAAAATTTAGCTACTCTATTGAGCCACTCGAAGGTACTTGAAAGCCAATAGCAGGATGAGATGACTCTAATTAATGTATTAGAGAAATTGTTCTAAGTATCCTACATATAGCTCTGTCTGACTTGATGGGATATGCATTAATACATGGATGTTTATTCAAGATCATAAAACAGATCAAATTCCTTTTAGTATGAAAGCTAGATGCGGTCATTTACTCCAATCACTGCAAAAATAACTTTGTAGATGAACTGAAGCCGTGTGTAACTCCACACTGGGAACCAGTTTAGGTTTCCAAAGAACTTTGACAAATCCAAATTCGCCTTTAAGATCAATCGGATGATCTTGGAAAATGCTACATTCTACTTCCTGCTTACACTTCAGGTTCTAAGGACTGTGAGGACTTCATTTTTGATAGATATAATGTGCTCTGATCTTGATCGGAGGCTTATAAATAAATACAATCTGTCTAAACTATTCATACACAAACATTGGTTCTTTGAGCAAAGCTGAGCAATTACTCAAAGCTGGAAACGGAGTAGCTTATATTAGTAACTTTTAAATTCTAAAGTAAATTTCCCTGCAGAAATCTAAATCAAGCTTTAGTGGTATCAAGAAGCTTAGTGCCAGTTTTTAAGTTTCTCTGTTTATTAGATAATTTGTCTTTCTGTGAGTTAATGAAGCTCTTAACATGCTTTTGTGGGCTTTTCCAGCTTTGTGCATCATTGCTTCTTTGAATGTCTTATGAAAAACCTTATCTGGAGAAGTGCATTCTTAGTCCAAAATCAGATTTTATATGCCTGTACTTAAATATATACTGAGGGGCACCTCTCTGCACTTCTAATTTTGTCTGTTTAATTGGGACAGTTGGCTCAAAGTAGCTTCTGAAGAAGTCATTAGTACAGAATTTAAGTAACGTATTCCAGTCTGCACTTCCAGTTATTACTCAGTACGTTCCACGAACACATGAAAACGGTGTAGTCCTTTTCCATGGCCTGTAATTGTGGCTAAGGATCAAATCATGTCTTACATATTACCTATAAAGAAGTCCTGGTAACTCGAGACTGTTTTCCTTGCAACTCTAGGTGGAGTTTGTTCGAGGCTTGATGGCAGGGGACCACCTTAGAGAGGAGGAGCACATGGCATTGGAGACCCTGCTGGCCAATGTGCCTCAGTCTCGGACTGTTAAGAGCAACAGCCTGGAGCTCACTCCATCCAACACCCCTCAGCTCTCTCCAGCTACTACTCCTGCCAACAAGAAGAACAGACTTCCTATAGGTAGCTTTCTCCACAGCACCTGTCCTTCTGTGACTCTGGTTATTAAGACTGTATGCACTGGTGTACATGATCTTAAAAAACTTTTGGCTTGATAAAACATCACAATTTGATACAAGGACTAGAAGATATAAGTCTAGAGTTTGTCTAATGAGGGGCAAAGTAAACAATTAGAGTTGAACGGTGATAGCTAGTGAAAGCCTGTATTTTATGAGAAGCTAATGAGCTACTTCTTAGCTTGTTATAAAGATAATTAGTATGGCCTGGATTGAGGCTCTATTAGAGAAATGACAACCAATTAAATTACCAAATATAAATGAACTAATTTTAATTGGAATGGATGGAAAAGATGCATAGATTACCTTCATTACCATTTTCAAGACAAATGATTCTGTAGCAACTCGCCTTAATTAGAAATGAATCACTTGTGCATTTATTTACTCAATCTTGACTACTTGGACTACTTTGAATTCTCAGATACTTTGTATTCTGTCTCCAACTCCCTACCTTGTCCTTTTCCTTTCCTCCTGTGCTGCCAATGAATGACCAGGACAACACTTAGCTGCTATAACATCCTGGGACCCCACAACCACCACCCTGTCTGCACACATTCCATTAGTAACCCCTTTTGGTGGGTAGCCTGTCAGTCGTGTTAGTGGACGAGAACCTAACCCTCATATCTGTGGCTTCTCTCAGCTTTATGTTAGATGACACTCATAAGACGTTGGTTCACGCTCCAAGCTGCACAGAAACCACGCTGCCGCACAACTTGTTACCTAGCATTGCTGTTGTTGTTGTGCTCTCAACATGCCTGCTTTGCCCTTCACAGTGCTTTGGCTGATTATTAGAGCTAAGATGTTATTCCACTCATTTTGTTTTATACGTTTTTTATTTTTGTTTTCTTCCCCCCCTGTTTCTTTGCTTCCTTAATCAGCGGAATATGGCTATTCATTAACAGGTAGAGTGGGGAAAATCTATCTTTCACCTTTTTCCCTTCTGGTTTATACCTCAGCTGGACTAAGCTAAAGAAGAAACTATTACAGTTAAGGATGGTCATGGTGACGAATTTCATAGTCGGCTAAATAACAAATAAAATTAGGCTAACCGACCAGTATAACTTAGAAACACTCAGATATCAAGTTAAATTTGAAGACCGTTTAATGGACAGTGCCAAAAAGTGTCTAAGAAAGACATTTGAGTTTAATCACATTCTTCAACAATGACTCAAGTGTGGTACCTCACATCATGTATTATCATGCATTATTCTATAATTTGTGACAACCATCTGAAAAAAGGTTAAAATCTAAAATACCAAGAATAAATCATCTATTTATTTTCTTCCTCTTATCCGGGTGGTGAGAACCTCTATGACAATGTCAGGATTGCAGCTCCCCCTGGTGGAAGATGGCTGCATAACATTTAGGCCACAATGTATTGAGCATCAGTTGAACTGTTAACAATTAAACGACTAGTATGTCTGGTACTGACTCATGATAATAGTAATGATTAGCTATCTAGTCACGCACACCCTTAATTACAATGTCTTCTTATAATCTCATACTTTGATGCCATAGTTGGTTTCTCACACAGGTGAAATTAATTGTATTAATTAGGGCTTAGCTTGATTATATTGGCTCCTTGAAACTTTTGCCAGCATTTGTTTCTCCTGTTTCAATTTGATTTTGCTTTTATGGGAGAATTATTGATAAAAACACTTGTTTTGCAAAGACAAATGCAATCCAGGGTGAATGCCATATGGCCTAATATCTTTCGTTTGTGTGTAATGTTGTTTGGAAAATTCCATTGAGATGGAATATCAGGTGTCAATAGTTACTGTAGAATCTTAAATCTATTTTAAGGCCTGTGCTCGTTTCCAGTGCATGAACTAAAGAATATATGCATGACGTTATAGTTACTAAAAACTAAAAAGCAGGTAAAATATGTTAGACCCTTCGTTTTCTTTTTACGTGTGTATATCAAGTGCTGCTCTGTGCTACAGTGCATTCGGCCTGCTATTTTTAAACCGTGAAAAGCAGGTAATTTGGTATTTGAATATACATAGTGCACTGTGTTTCAGTGTTGGTAATTTTAAATTAAAACAGTGAGTTTGTTAGTTTTGGAGATTGTTGCATGTTAATAAGCTGATGGTTGGACGATTTTTTCCAACTGGACAATATGAGTCTAACAACTTGGGTGGATGTGTGTGAGCAGAGTAGCTCTAATTGAATAAACAAAAAGGCGGCGGCGAACCTATTATACCAGCTTGTGAAGCGTGGCCTTTGGGGCAGGTTGTAGACTCTGCTGTACTTGTAGAGACCATAAAAACCAGATCTTCATGACTCTCAAAGTCATGCTGATGAGAATGAATGTCGGTATCTGCATATAAAAGATTTACATAACCATCATGACTTCAACCATCAGTTTGCAAAGACCTGTCTTGGAGGCTGAAGCTTTTAAGAACGATGAACGATAACACCGAGAAACACTGCATGCTTATGTGATCTCGACATGCCAGTTTCAAGTTAGCCACATCACAAAGCATGGCTTTCTTCATCCTTCTTACCAAAATTTTGAACTATAGTAAGACATAAAAATAGCCACAGAGTCTATGAACTAAAGTCATGGATCAACAACGGGACGTGAACGATGCCACATTAATTACAAAATACTGCCGCCACTCTGTTATGAACCTGTGGCAGAATGAGAAATGATACAAATATAAAATAGCTGTCAACTCTAAAGTAATGTGAAACAGCGAATTATGGGCTCAATGGTGCAATTCTTTAACTTGCACTATCGGCAGATACGACCTCCTTAAATTATTTACACCCTTGCACATAATCGGACACACCATTTATTAACATGTGAGCCATCAGCAAAAGATACACTGTCAGGAAGTTCTTGAAATGTTTTTCTTCGACATGTCTGAATAAGATTGTTGTGTAACAAGTTTGTGCCACACTCTCTTAGCAGTAGAGCTGTCGACATAATTAAACAGTACCACAGTATTTTTTATTTTTTGGAGTGGCATGATGAGCTAAGCCTTCATATAAAACTCACATCTGTCCGTATCTTAACATCTTAATCAGTAAACTGCTGAATATATTAAAGTAATATTTCTGATTTGTAAAGGATAACTTCATACATAATCAGCACTAACCTTGTTTTTTGTAGCAAATTACTGTCACACGTGAGATAAACTAATCTTATATGTCACACGGGTGTGTAGCTACCTGCAGATGACTATGACGCTGAGCTCAGCTTACATAGAACTCTGAGTCTGCTTTCCAGCTCCTGCCTGCTGCTGTTCATTTTCACACATGCTCTTTGGTTGATGTTGTTTTTGTTTAAAAACAGATTCCTTATTTGTGACTATAAAAGGGGAAAAAAAGGTAAAAATAACACAGTTCCGTTTCCTTCAACCCACCAACCAGCATCTGCTCGAAGCCGGAGCCGTTCCAACATAGCCCAGGAGGGGGAGGCAGAGGCCAGCTCCCAAGAGTCCCTACAGGAGCTGGTACCAGAGGAGGTGCTGGTAATTTCATTGGGAACTGGTCCTCAGACTGTCCCTGGGATGATGTCAGAGAATGAGGTAATGTGACTTGATGCAATAAATTCAGTTGAATATATATTTTTTTCCTGTCAGTAAAGGGAAGTATGGTTACCTAGAGAATGTTTCTTCCAGTTTCCTGTTACTTTTGTGTTCTTGCAGTGTTACGCAAGATACCACAGATCTCACAGAAAACAAACTCCCTTATCTAAATATGACCTTCTGCTTTTACTCAGAATACCTCTAGGAAAAAAGAGCAGTATTAGCCCAAGTTTACAGCTGATCTTAAGTAATATTGTTGCATATGCTACCCTCTAGGTTTTGAATCAGATGGCTGATGGGGCCCAGGTGGATGGCCATGCTGATGACACTAAGCTGCATGGAAAACCAGACAAAACATTGCGCTTCTCTCTGTGCAGTGACAACTTGGAAGGAATCTCAGAGGGTCAGTCTGGAATGCCATGACGTGACATATGTTGTAGCTATGTTTTCCTTCTAAATTTTAAAATATGAAGGATTTCTGAAAGAGATTTTCATGAGAGTTTCATGTTTAGATTTGGAGAAAAGCACCTTTCCCCAGGTTAAAAAAATGTATACTGTAGCAAAACAACATAAGTGGTCTGGGCTAAAATATGCTGTACTTTAGTTTACTGAACTGCTGACTGAGTGACCTGTTGACCTTGCATGTCTTCACTTTCTAAAATGTATGTATTTATTCTTAACTTTAGGCCCTTCAAATCGTTCTAATTCTGTGTCATCTCTGGACCTGGAGGGAGAGTCTGTTTCTGAGCTGGGAGCTGGCCCGTCAGGGAGCAACGGGGTAGAGGCCCTGCAGCTTTTGGAGCATGAACAGGGTATGCATGCGTGTTTCTGAATGTATAGTTTAGTTGTAGAGGTTTAGAGGATTTTAGATACAGCAGTCATCTATAAACAGACAAAGCGTCTGACAGCACCTTATCTTGATTTCAGCCACGACACAGGACAACCTCGATGACAAACTACGCAAATTTGAAATCAGAGACATGATGGGTCTGACAGATGACCGGGACATCTCCGAGACGGTCAGCGAAACCTGGAGCACCGACGTGCTCGGCAGTGACTTTGACCCCAATATGGACGAAGATCGGCTACAAGAAATAGCAGGTGGGTCGACGATTTGGGTCGCGTATTTGTAGACATTCATTGATCAGTAGGCAAATGAACGGGCATACAGATCCCATGCGATCACTGCATATTTTATCAGAACCAGTCATGAATTGCTTACCACAGGGACTTTGTTTATGAAGTTGATTCAGGGACATGTCATCACTTTGTGGGTTTGGGTGATATAGCATCAAATAGAAAAAATATTTTAGTCAGTTCAGTTTCTGCAAAGATATTGCTCATTTTAGTCTGTAAGAGCCATAAATAATTATTTTGTTAGTCAAATATACTGAAGGGTGGAAATATAGGTCCCCAGTGAGAACTGTTTTTAAACTAAAGGAAAGGAATTTGATCTTTTTGTGTTTCAGATTTACAGATTTATGGAAACGGCTAAATAATAGTTGGTGTTGATAATCCTTTATTCTGAATCTATATTAAAATATAGGATATTGATATAGAGCATGATATTCTTTCACTGTACTGCAACCAACTCATGGATTTTATTGATTGTGCTGTTATCCTTTAATTCTTTGCCTGGCAGGGAGAAGGAAGTAAAAAATAAATGAAGATGAAGTTAATACAAAAACAGTGGTTGATAAGTACATGTGTTATTATAGTATGCTAATACGTAGGATGATTCAGTTTCTGCACTTTGTTGAGCCAAAAGTGTGACAGAGAAAGATGGGTTGGGCAAAAAAAATCAGGTTAATGTAATTTTAAACCAGCTGTGGAGATAATATTTGAGTCTTCTTCCTATTCAGCCCCTCATCTTCCTGTCTTCTTTCTCTCGGTCTTTTCTGTTCACATCCTTCCCCTGCCCATTTCTCTCGCTCTCTTTCTCTCTGTCTCTGACATTCACTCAGTCCCTGCAGTCTTATTGACCTTGGTTCCTTCTCATTTGCATCCACCATTTTTCATTCTTCGGAATATGGCGTTGGGGGACTTTTCCATCATTAAGTGAATTTACAGCGATTTCCTTATGTGTTTTCTCCAAGGGATTGGGTTATGAGATGCACATTAAATATCCATTAATACCTCATTATCCCACTGATAAGATTACCATGATAATGAGGCAGAAATTCTAATTGTTTCACTTCTTGTTGTGCCACTCATTTAATCATCCACCTGAAAGACAAGTACTCTGCGCCCCTACCTTGAAGACTGTAAACACGGACAGCGGGGTAGAGCTCTCCCACTGCCAATGAGAGCCCTGCCCCCGCCAACAGCAGCACACACTGTTGCCTGGGTGCTGGCACGCATGTAAGCTCATGCCACGCGTGTGCCACGAAGTGGAAGCATTTCGTACCAGGGGCACAGCTACCACAGGTTGACTTTCTGGTCATGAGCCTTGGACGCCCACTCCCACTCACACCTGCTAGCTCTTTTCCCTCGCCTCTGCATTCTTCCGCCTTGTTAAGCCACGGCTTCTCAAGCGGAGATGGAGGGGGAAGCTGTGCTGAGGAGTTTGCAGGAGTGTAGACAAAGCAGTAATTTGGTTGTGAATAATGCTAGGCTTAATCAACTGCTCAAAGTCATGGCCCCAGAGGCCAGGGCTGGGTGAGATATTACTATTAACCCCTGACCTTTGGCAGAGTGGTGCAGGTGCCTGTGGGTCCCAGCATGGAATGCATGTGACCTCTCTGTGTGCAAAGCTCACTGCTTCTGAACCCCCTTCTGCGAGTGAGTGGTTTATCTAGTATTTTTGCTTATCTCTGGCCTTTTTGCTGTTGTTTGAAAGTCAGACCTGAAGATTTGTTTATTTATTTTTATTGAATGTTTACACATCAAATCAGTACATTAACGACGGAGAGAAATTTGCCTCAAAAGCGCTGCAGATGCATACGATATGATCCACAAGGATAAAGCGATCTGAATACATACTGATCATTTCCACACAATTTATTAAGTTCCGTTCACGAATCTGATAATTTTACCTTTTATAAGCATTTTTGTGCGTACACATGTCTAAAACTACACACTTCTCTCTCGCTCGCTCACATAACCTTTAATACATGTGGACGAATTGCCTCGTACGCACAGATCACGTCACATCGCATGCCGACGTGGGGCTTTGAGACAAATTTAACGCGACCATTTTCGCACAATTCCACAAATGTAAGCTGCGTTCAGTTCCAGTGTAAAACTGGGACATCTGGGCTTTAAGTTACACACAAATCACTGCACACATTTGCAAATCTCAGTATATGCTTGTGGATCATATTGTATCATATCGATCATATCCTCTGCAACCCTTTTGAGGCAAATTTCTCTCCATAACGAACTGTCATGGAGTGAATATAGATACAATTATTTCATGAACTCGTCGACTTAATAGCACTGACAAGTAAGTCATTCATCATGCCAAATACACTTTCCCACTCCCGAAGGGGTTAACTCTTTGTCTTTTTCTCTTTCTCTGTTCTCAGGGGCAGCTGCGGAAAATATGCTCGGCAGCTTGCTGTGTCTTCCTGGCACGGGTTCAGTTCTGCTGGACCCCTATGGTTCCACCATCTCAGAGACCACAAGCGAGGCCTGGAGTGTAGAGGTCCTGCCTAGTGACTCAGGTGGGGGAAGCCAGGGTTTATTCTGCTGTTCCAGTGTCCTTTTGTTTTCACACTCATCCTCATTGGGTATTGTCTTATAGGTCTCAGGTGTGCGTTTGCATTCACAAATGTGTGCTTATTTATGCATGCAGTATATTTGTTTCTTCCATATAGTAAGGAAGGGTGGGGGGAAGGGACACCAGGTGTGGTTGCACTGCATTCATACCAAAAAATGTGCACGTGCATCTGTCATCATATTTGTATGCACTTGCTTGTCTTTCAGGGCAGATCTGCCAGTGCCAGTAAAAGGCAGCTTAGGGTTTCCTTAGAGGGACCACCAGGTGTGTTTGCACCTGTGGTTGAGCAGTGGGGAGGGAAGCGCAAGGACAGCAGCTGTCCTCAGTCAGCTTACATGGTGTCAGTTCTTTATCTGGCTCCGACTTGCACGATACTGCTCTGAAACTGGTTTGTGCATTTTTGTTGTGTGTTTGTGTGTCACTAATCAGTCAAAGCATCATTAACATTGTTACGGTGTCTTTGCAAGGCAAATGCATTATTACGAGTTGCAGATTATATTTAGTCCGTTCTTGCAAATTGAACATTTAGACCAAACCTTTTGTTAATGGGAGATTACGTGCTTGAGTCCCTCTATTGAAAACCAGCGTTTTGTGAAAATCAGTCGAGAGCTTTATTAACAGTGTTTCTTCAAAAAGCTTGGGCCTTATGTTAATTGAAGTAGTACACCATTTCAATATGTGCTGTGCAGAAATGACATGCATGAGTGCCTTGATTGCTTTTTTTTTTTTTTTTGGTTCCGTTTGCCGCCCCTGTTGTTCTCTGTAATGGCGTGATCGGAGGCGTGCTTCAAGTAGAGCGCTTGTTTCATGGCTAGGCAGCAGAAAACTACACTCCGAAGAGCACTTCAACAACACATTATTACTAACGAGCATGCAAATGAGTACCGCTAGTAGTGTGGAGCCTCAGGGTTCGACCCAACTGCTCCGTTGGGTAGCCACAGAATTGGCTATACTAGCTTTATTGTTTGGATTGGCAGTTATAAGACATGATCATGTATGCTTTATTTGTTTTTTTTTGTTGTTTTCTTTTTCCATGTGTACAAAAGAAGGTAGTGCAAAATACTATCATCACAGCAATCTTCCTTGAGTAAGTTCAGATTCTTGTGGCCATTTTCATAAGAGAGATTTTTTCCCCTGTTTTTTCATGTGCAGAAGCCGCAGACCTGAAGCAGGAGGAGCGTCTGCAGGAGCTGGAGAGCTGCTCTGGGGTCGGCAGCACCTCAGATGACACAGAGGTCAGAGAAGTCAGCTCGAGACCCAGCACACCGGGCCTCAGTGTCGTCTCAGGTATAAACACCTTGTCTTAAATCTACTTTATTGGCTTCTGTTTACTATGAAAGATCTCATTCTGTTTTTGCCTCATTTTGTTATGTTTCTCTACTGGAATGTCGTTGCTAAATTCGGGTTAGATAAAACCATTCACACTCTCCTTGCTGGTGTGGAAAGAGTGGTCATGTTGTTAGGAGGGTCCTTACCAGCATAGTGGGGTCCAAGTGAATTTTTCTGTATGACGCAGAGGTTAATGTTCATTGCCTTGTCCATGGGCTCAGGTGCACGTGTTATGTTGACGTGCATGAAGTAGTATCCTAGATTAAGAAGCCAGCGGTGATGTTCCTGGTTCAGCTCACAGGAAAACGTCCCACGGGATCCAGCCGATGGATAGTATGCGTCTGATGATCACTCTTATCTGTGTCTTTCCCATAACCCACGGGGAGCTTACGCTACCAATTTAGAGGTCCCAGTGGGTTCCCGGCTGAGAGAGACCATACAGCATAGTCTAAAGAGAAAAATATCCTCTTTTGTTTTAGAACCATTGCACTTGCAGTTTTGCCCAAAACCTTGTTTCATAGGTGATATTGAGTTGTTTTTGTCCTGAATGTCAAAACACCTGTTTTGTGTGGGGGGTGCCACAGGTATCAGTGCAACGTCAGAAGATATCCCCAACAAGATTGAGGATCTGAGGTCAGAGTGCAGCTCAGACTTCGGAGGGAAGGACTCTGTGACCAGTCCAGATGGGGAGGAGTCAGGCCACGGTAGGAGTGTGTCACATCCCCACTAGGATGGCCAAACCATCAGTCTAGAGTCTGTCTGGTCACCATCTATCCCTGTCACTTTTACAGCTGTCACCAAAGTAAATCACAGTTTTGCTCCCTAAAACCGTAAATATGACTTGAGGTTATATCGAAGGGTTGCATGCTCTTTGCTGAGGGGCCGACTTTGGAGACCACGGTACAGAATAAACCAGCACTTCATAATATACTGGCCCAACCAATACAACCCGCTCTGTAGCTTTGCAACATGTGAAAGTGCAGAGAGGAGCGCCCTAATATTTTCACTTTATCACATCAGGAACATTTTGTTGCAGGTCATTTAGGATATGTTGAGTGGAGATAAAACTAACAATTCCACCCGAGCCAGAGGCTGGGTCACGGCCTGTAGCCTGCCATACCACACTGAAGTAAGATGGCAGTAGACTGCTGACATATTGCTCCAATTTCACTTACTTTTTTGAAATATGGAGGCATTGGACGTACTGGGCTGGCCTACTTGAGATTAAATTGGCCTATTTAAAAAATGAATGTTGGTGTGCATTGTAATTTCAGCGGCTCTGTAATGAATAGTCTTCTATATCTTTGTTGTTTTTTTTCTTTTCAGGAGCACACCATCTGACATCTCCACCATCACAGGTTGATTCCTTGCTGGCCATGTTTGATCCCCTTTCCACCGCCGAAGGTAATTTGCACTCCCAGAATGCTCTACAGCCAATGAGAGCTAAAAATGAGTATCATTAAATCCCTGCCATAATGTCATGGAATCGCAGAACAGCTTGAGCTGTGCAAAATTTACTCCAACCCCCAATTACTGGACATATTACTGTAAGTGCAAGTGAAATATCTCTTCATTGGCATCATTTAGAATCTCAAATTATTCTCAGCAGTCTTTGTTCTGGCTTCTGTGCATTTTGTTTGTAGTGCAGGTGGAAATGTTTGAGAGAAGTGTGTGTGTGTGTGTGTGCGCGTGTGTGTGTCTGTGGGGCAAGGTGAAGGGATGACAGGTTGAGAGACCTCACCCCAGGCTCTTTGGCACTGTCCCCTTGTCCCACTGTGCTCATGGCACGAGGCTGCCATTGGAAGCTTTTCAGGAGAGCGTCTACCCTTGGAACAGGTGGCCTACACCTAGGGCTCATCTCCCACCTACATCTCTCTTTAGCAGTCCCCCCACATTTTTGTTTCTCGTGAATGTTATGTTTAGGGACTACTCTTTAGAAGCAGGTGAGCTTTTATGGTACAGAGCAGCAATTTTTGCCCTCATAAATTGATTTGAGTTTTATTAGTATATTTAGGGCTATAAATAAAGATCCACAAATGCACTCGGAGGGAAAGAAAAGAGTGCAGTAAGCTGTTAAGTGGGTAACTTAAAGCTCAAAGAAAATATAATCAAAACTAGGGCTTTTTGAATATTTTCTCAGTGCTTTTTTTTTCCTTTCTCTCCCTTGCCTTATTACCTCAGGCTCCTCCACGGGAACAATAGTGAGGCCAAAAGTGCACTATGCCAGGCCCCCTCACCCCCCTCCCGATCCTCCCATCCCTGAAGCCAGTGCCCTGGGGCAGGAGACTCGCCACTCTCTTTTCACACCCCACTGCTTGGCCCAGTCCGAGCTGGAACACACCAAGCAGCGCCACTCGTTCCCTGACAGGCTGGTCCGCAGCCGCAGCTCTGACATCGTGTGCCCAGGTCGCCGGCCCACGAGTGACCCCGGCCTTAACCGGCGGGTAGCAGTCGAAGAGCGCGACCCTGCCGGGGCTTTCGCCTTGGGTCCATCCTCATCCCCCAGCAAGGACTCCCTGAAAGGAGAGGTAACGAGCTGTTGTGTAGTTGGGCTGCTTTCATAGTCGGCTTTCAATAAACCACCTGCTAATGTTTGATTATAATGTGCTAATTTACATTTAAAGGTTGAGGACAGAAAAGACAGCGACGATGAGAAATCTGATCGCAACAGGCCGTGGTGGAAGAAACGTTTTGTGCCAGCCATTCCCAAAGGTAAGGAAACGGGTTACTTGCAAGTCTTTCCCTGTGCCGAGAAATGAACTTGTGATCAGTGTGATTGCAGTGTGCCTTTTATATGTTTTGTGGTTGGGGGGGGAAGAAAACATTCTCTTAATCACAACGGACAGGAAATATCACACTTTAAAGAGCAGAGCAAAAAGCAATTTATAAAGTGAGAAAGAGACTGATGATCCATGTTGTCCACTCCATTGCTGATGTTCCAGTTGGAAAATGATGTTTCTTGTTGTTTGAAGTTGCTCTAGAGACGTGTCCAGTCCTTTTTCTCTCAGGTCTCACTAGCTGCAGATTTATATAGACTTTTCAAAGCTAATCAGTCATCAGAGGAGCTTTAGCTGTGTAGATTGTATGGCTGTAGCCCTCCCAGCAGTGCTGTCAGCCAGCGGCTAATGGTCATTAGATAGACCTCTCTGTCATCAGCGCTGATAGATGACACATCTCTTGTTGGAGTTCTACTCAACAACCATCTCTCATACATCTGTCTGGGAAATAATGAGCTGTGCCTTCACAGAATTAGTGCTTATTACTCTTTGAGATAATGGTACTTCTAAAGTAAACATTGGATTGATATTCATAAAATGCAGGACTGGAAAAAATCAAGGGCTTTGACGTCTAAACCACCACCTCTGTAAACGCCATTGTGTTTGTCCTGCTGCTCTGCATGGTGATTCAGTCGTCCCGCAGAGCAGCAGCCTGTGCTTGAAAGGCCAACCCTGTCTGTTGTGTTCCTCACAGTGCTGTATTGGACGGCTGAGAGTGAAGTCCCAGGTAACGCTTCCATGCTGTCATCATCGAGCTAGCTTTACTGCTGGAGCCAGCGGCTGCGTGCCTTGCTGCTTTGTGCTGCCTTAGAACTGTAGAGCTGTGATGTGACACGGTGTAGCCTGAGTTCCCACAGTCACGTTTCTCATCGACACCCGATTTTCTGTGTTTCGCTATGTTTTTTATTCATTCATTCGCTCATTTTTTACTCCCTGGCGAAAACAGAATATGAATGTAGATATTTCACCCAACGTCTCCTGTGTGTGTGTGTCATCAAATTTTAGCATCTGTAACTCTGCTGTGTTGGTGCCTTTATGTCAATAGAATAAGCGTCAGTAGGGTTATGCACATCCATATACACTACCTCTTTTATAATTAGTTACAGTATGTCTTTGGGATATTCTGCTTTAAGCCAAAGGTCGAATTACCATCAAAATGTTTGCTTTTTCTTTTTAAAAGCATTCACTGGTCTAATACTTTGTAGATGCCATGCATTACACACTAAGATTTTTCATCTCCCATACAAAAACACCAAAGACTTAACAAAAGTGGCTGTCAACAGGCGATTTGTGACCAGGTGAATGGATTGCCACTCTGTTTTAGTTAATCACACGTTTCTGCCCCACAGCTCCAATTGCAGCATTTAGGAAAAGGGACAAACAAGAGAAAGATGAAGTTGTCCACAATATCCCGCAAGGTCAGTCATGGTTTGTTTTCAGTCTTGATTGCTAAGCAGAGATCCACCACTGTGAGTTTAATTTGAATTCAAGCTTCTTTTTTCCTCTTTCACCCTCACAGATGACCCGTTGCTCAGATCGAGCACTCAAGCCCAGGCAGCTGAGGACATCCTGGACAAATACAGGAACATTAAAAGGACCAGCCCGAGTGATGGAGCCACAGCCGGAGCCTCCTATGATGGTGCAGGAGGTCAGAGCAGAGAAAAAAAATCAAAACACCATGCATGCACGAGAGGTAGACCTGCAGGAGACATAATACATTAATATATATTTATGCTTTCTTTACTTTAACAGATCTTTGTGTTGAGGACAATGTGCATGACGCTCAGAGAGAAGACACTTTGCAGAACATTTCTGCAGATGATCTCCCAGACTCAGCCAGCCAGACGGCACAACAGCACGAAACAAAGTTCTCTTTCAGGTCATAATCCAGCACATAGCCAAGCTCTTTTTACACTGACACTTAAATTTTCTTGATGCAGATGATTCATAGATAGGGCTCAATTGATTTTTTTCCCCCCCCACAGTGATGCAAAGAAGAAGTTGAGGTTGGCTTTGTGTTCTGCAGACTCAGTGGCTCTGCCTATCATGGCTCCTGCAACTACTCGAAATGGGCTGCCTGATCACATGGATCCTGAAGGTAAAGGTGCTTGAACACCCAATAGTTAATATATCTGGTTTCATTTCATTTGATTTTTATTTTACTAAACTGAACATGCTGCCATGCTGGATTTGTATGAATATTTCTACTGAGTACTTCAAAAAACAAACAAACGGATTATGAGGTGGAATTCATTTAAAACTTGTTTAACAAGAAATTAGAGTGTACTAATTTAGAGCAGCACCAAAAGTTTCTACAGTGTAGGTATCTTTGTCACACACTTCCATTGGGAGCGAGGCACATGCCCTTAATGTTGGCAACCATCCATCCTGCTCAGATTGTCCTTAAGCAAGACACCAAATCTGTGCCAACTTCACCTTCTGAAGGTTTGGGGCAAGGTTGAAATATGGGGGATGTTGAAAAGTTCAGTGAAATATGGTCATACGCGTGTGGCCATATAAAATAATCTCAGTTTAATCGAAAATAGGCAAGTGTTCTAACACGTCACTAAGTAAATGCAAGGAAAGGATGTTCTACCAAAACCTGATATCAAATGTTTAATACATTTATAAACTTTAATGTTACTCGTTCTTTGGGGCTTTCATTGACATTATATCTCACTGTTGTCCAATGCACACTGCTGTCTCTTGTTTTCAGAAAACGAGATTGTCTGCTTCTTGAAGATCCAGTTAGCAGAAGCCATCAACCTTCAGGATAAGAACCTGATGGCCCAGATCCAGGAGACCACTCGGTGCGTCAGCCGCTTTGACGCGCGCACCTGCAGGAAGCTGCTCGCTGCCATTGCAGAAGATTACAGGTAAATCTGGAGGGTTTGGAAAGTCACCCTTATTTGTGTGTTTTAATTAGTTTTCTTTTTATTAATGTAATGAAACTCAGAGCTACAGTGAAAATGATAAAATGCCTGTGTTTCTCTTTGTTTCCTATAGAAAGCGGGCACCGTACATAGCCTATCTAACCAGGTGTCGTCAGGGCCTGCAGACCTCTCAGGCCCATTTGGAGAGGCTCCTCCAGAGGGTGCTAAGAGACAAGGAGGTGGCAAACCGCTACTTCACCACAGTCTGTGTTCGACTTCTCCTCGAACATATGGAGTCTAAGATGCTCGATTTCATTAAAGGTATTTCAATGTTTTCACATTTAGTTGAACTGAATTCTTTCTTTGCTTAGTCCTCCACATTAGAGATTCCTGCTAGTGTGACATTACTAAATACTTTACCATTGTTGTTAGTAGAATATTTAATTTTTTTCCAAGTATTTGAAGTGCCTGCAGTCTATCCACAAACTCGAGCGCAGCACGACGGTTACAGATACTAATGTCATTTATTGAAGATGCGAGGCTTAAATCACTTTCTCTCTCCAGCGTTCCAGGGGTGCACAGCAGCCGACGACAAGACAGCAGCAGTGGAGGATTTTCTGCGCTACTTGTACGGCGCCATGGCCCGTGATGCCATTTGGCAGTATGCAAGTGAGGACCAGCTGCAGGATGCCCAGATGGCTATCGAACGCAGTGTTATGAACCGCATCTTTAAACTGGCCTTCTACCCCAATCAGGATGGAGATATTCTCAGAGACCAGTGAGTAGCACACTGCCAAGCAAAGTGCTTCACTAGGCAGTATTGGATTTCTTTTCTTTCTTTTTTTTTTAACTGTTAGGAGGATTTAAAACTGAAACTCTAGAGATAGCAGAACTTTTATATCTTGGCCTTTATACAAGTTCAATAAAGGGCTTTTGGCTCGGTGTAAAAATGCCCTGTAAGGATCCTGTGACTAATTTCAAAATTTAAGTAAATATCCCCCTTTTACTTGTATGAACATTGCATGTATAAACAGATTGCATTCATATATGTTGGTGGAATCCATGAAAGCAAGTTTTGTAAGTCAACTCTGTTGTATTACGTGACTACATTTAATTCAAGTCTGGCTTTCTGTTTCGATTTACCTTCTTAGTATCCTGCTTTTGCTCATCTGTCAAAGCACTTTGTAAACAGTTGTTGCTGTGAAAGTAAGTTGATGTGTGTTATTGTTGGACAGATTGCATTCTCTCACTGTTGTCTTAAACCCAGGTGTCTTTCTCTCCCCCCCCTCCACACACACACAGGCTTTTCCATGAACATATCCAGCGACTCTCAAAAGTTGTGACAGCAAATCATAAAGCTCTTCAGATCCCAGAGGTATAAATATATATCTATTTTTTAACATATTCTCAGTTACCAAAGAAGGGAGATACTTTAGAGATACTGGTACTTTAAAAGCTGATGATTTTGAAAAACTTCCTGGTTGTAGGTTTACCTGAAGGAAGCTCCCTGGCCTTCTGCACAGTCCGAGATTAAGAGCATCAATGCATACAAGACGCCACGAGATAAAGTCCAGTGTATACTGCGGATGTGTTCCACCATCATGAATCTCCTCAGTCTGGCCAACGAGGATTCTGTCCCTGGAGCAGACGACTTTGTTCCCGTGCTCGTCTTCGTCCTTATTAGGGTGAGTCTGTTCTTTATTCTTCCCTTTTTTATTACCACAATGTAATTTCTTCAACTTTAATTGTAAGAATTTAGATGACTTGTTGACTTTTAAAATTAAAAAAATCACCATCATAAAAACTTCTCATAAAAATGAATGCTGTGGCAAAACAGCATAACGCCGCTGCTAAGCTGTGTATATTTTTATATGTAAATATGTAAAAAAAAAAAAATATATATATATATGAATATGATGCTGCATGAGCTTCGTTGAGTGGCTAATGCGAGCCCATCCCCACGTCTCCTCCCCTCCAGGCAAACCCGCCCTGCCTGCTGTCCACCGTTCAGTACATCAATAATTTCTACGCCAGCCGGCTGAGTGGGGAGGAGTGCTATTGGTGGATGCAGTTCACCGCGGCGGTGGAATTCATTAAGACCATCGACGATCGCAAGTGAAGCAGAACAGCCACCTGTATGGGCAGACTGCGGGGGAAGGAGCCGGGAGACTGGGAGACTTCCCAACCAACTGCTCCCTCTGCACAGCTTATAAAACCTGGCCCTCAGCCTGCTCTGTATTTGTATAGCTTGTACATAGCCAGAGACGTTGAGAGATTACAAAATATATATTACTGTACGTATGTGAACAAATCCAGGGTTTGAGCCGTAGTGGGGGAAAAAAAACAAACAAACAAAAAAAAAGCCTATGGGAAAAATTGGTAACATATTAACTTTGAACCTGATTTGAATTTTTCCTTTTATCTTCTTGTCTTTTCAGTCAGGTTTCCTTTTGGGGTCTGTATTAGGCATTTTATATATACATAATTACAATATGACATTAAATCAACATTATCCTGTATAAAGGGACCAGACTTCCTTGATGTGATCAATTTTTTTTTTCCCCTCCCCGGGGTGAAAGGGAAAGGCTTCCAATTAAATTACAGTATAATGTTCACTAAACCCATTGTGACACAGGAATTTACAGTGAATGATAGTTACCGGTGGGATTTAGTGACTCATAAACACTGAGATCAGTTCACAATTAACCGTACTACTCCCAAGGTTACAGTATCAAAAAAACTAATAGGGCAGCTTATATCATGAACTGTTTACCCCAATGTGCATCGATTTGGACGTAAGGGCCCACATATTTATATGAGATAAAATGTATTTATTTCTGTCATTCTGTTTAATGCTTTGTTAATCTAGTTTTTAACAATGAAAATGCATATCATGCCAATTCAAGATGTCAGAGGCAAGCGATGTTACTGTAGACTTGCTAAAAAATAATGCTTGAGTTAGGAAAGGCACCTTAGCAGTGAGTAGCCCTTAGGTGAGGATGCTGGGTGATTAACAAAGACAGGGTGAGCTCATGCACAGAGCTTTGGTGGCATTTAAAAAAAAAAAAAGGAAAATAGTGCCTTTGATGTGGGGCACGCTGTACAGGTAGTTACTTTTTTTTCTCCAATATATAACCCAACATAAGAACAATCCCCACCCTTAAGTGCATACGTGCACACAAAAACCAAGACACACACACACACACTACTCCAACGGGCCAACCATGTCTCATTGAGACATTTTTGTCCAGCCCTCACTGCTGGCATCATAACATTACCGACTGTTGCGTCTCGGTCCCTTTAACGATATCCCCATTTCGGAATTCTAGATCTTACCTCAAAGTTGAAACCAATGAGCCTGATATCTGTCTGTACACAGTAACTGTCCTGCATTGGTTGACACCAGAGTACTGGATCTTTTTTTTTGTTTTTTTGTGCAGTAGTTGGAAATGGTTGCAAACAGGGAAAGGAATGAAGGAAAAGTTGGATATTGACCTGCTGTGATGCTTGTTGTGGTCGCGTCACCCTTAATTAAGACAAGCCTTTGTTAGTGAACAAAGACATTTTAGTTTCTAATCTTATACCTGAGATGCCACATGTGTCCACATGGGCAGACTAGTGAACAATTGGATATTGGCTCTCTACCTCCTCATTAGTTCAACAAAGGGACTCCTGTTTATGTGCACTTATCCCCCCCCCCCTCTTTTTCTTTTTCTTTTCCCAATTTGGTGTGCTGTGATATCCCAGTGTCATTGTATCCTTCCAATTATAGAACAAGCATGTCTTTAATTCTCAAGAAATGACTAAAACTCCTTTTCTCTTGAAATCCTCTGCTTCATTTTTGTATACAGGCGTGCTACATGTATTATAGTTTTAAATAACCTGTTAGTTTTCACGGGAAATGACCTGACAGCACAATACACAGTAGTATAGAAGAGTAAATAATCAACACTATTGTTACTGACTTGCAGTTTATACTGAAGTGGTTGGTGTAGTACGTGAGTGTTTCCTTTTCTTTTCCTCTTTCTTTATTTGTCTAGTGAGCGTGTGAGACGCCTGTGCGATTGGTTGACCCTCTGCCTCCTCTTGCATGAAGTCATTGAATGGTCTGTACACTGTCAATCATTGTAAACTGTTAGAATAGGATCAGTATTTGCCACAGGCCAATAATTGAACCTGCAAGAGGATGCAAAGTTTCTGTGCCCGTGATACTTGCATATCTGAACTCAGTGGTTTATTTTGCACAAAACGGATGTATTTTCCTGGAAAATTTGAGAGGGAACGGTGCATTTTTTGGGGGGGGGAGGGGGCTTGTAGTCATCTAAAGTAACCATATTTCGATTTTAAAAAATGAGTAGCAAAGATGAGCACCATGCTGTTACTTTCAAACTGGTTAACAGTTTATGGGTAACATCACAAATGCTTAAAAAAAACATATGTATATATACATATATCCCT